TTCTACCCCTCTGCAGAGACTGTGAATTTTCTCGAGGCTTACCTCTGCATGTAGAGAACTAAGAGCCTCCCTTCACTCTGAATTTCCGTGAAGTCCTTCTCCAATTTGAGCTGTGCTGTTTTATGCTATGAGACATTTTCAGTTCCTTTCTCCTGGAAGCCTGTGGGCAGAACCAATCTGCATGACATTGTCCTGCCTCGGTGGGGACAGGTATGACTCAGAGCATGTTTGATTTCCAAGAACATCTTTCTGAGGGGTAATGGCTAATGAGCTCACCTTTGAGCCTGTCAACAAAAGAGGCCCAGGGAGACACCCAGGTCAGCTGAAATCCACCAGAAACAGAGAGGGAAGATACCGGACATGACCGTGGTCTATGAATGCCTGCCAGGCAACCATATGAAGAGGAAACCGCCCAACTCAGAGAAACCGGCTTCTCTGTTTAGGTCCAGCTAATCACCAACTAATGCCACAAGTAAACTCTTAGTGGGAGTAACAACAAAGAGTGAGAGTTGCAAAGTCTATATTCATGAAATCATAACCTGTGTTAGGGTTTGTCTTAGGGCTCTACTTTTATTTATTTATCAAATATTTGTTGTGAAGGGATTCATCAAACACAAGTCACTGGCCCTGCCGCCTCCGCCCCGGAGCTCATAGGCTGTTGTAAGACTTACAAACGGCATCCAAATTCAGACAGGGTTATACCTATTTTACCAACCTGGGCCACTTTGCCCCTCAGTGCCCCAGTCTCTTCAGGGGTTAGTTAACAAGGCTCTATCTCATGCCCACCAAGTGCCTAGTTCTGTGCTGGCTGCTCAGATGTTGACTTCAAAACAGTTCAGAGGTCATAACAGCACCAAAATTGGCATTCAGGCACCTAGTATGGTAACATACACTTTCTGAACATCTAAGTAACAATTGTCACCGATTGGTGTGTTTTCCAGCTCACACTTCATCAGTAAGTAGCTTTTAAAATGGTGAAATTAATGATTACTTGATGCCGGAGAAAGGGAGCAGGAGATGGCATTAGCCCCCATGAAAACCACGGCATCATCATAATACCATGGCTCTTAATAGAACTTCATAATTTTCCGAGTGCTTTTACACATATTTTCAATGATTGATTGCTCGGAGATTTGATAGGCTTCCCAAGAAAAACTGAAAACCAAACAGAAATCCAGATTGATTTTAAAACATATGTATTGGATGCCCACCGTGTGTAAAACACTTTGTCAGGCACTAGAAATCTACCAATGAACGAGAGGGACAGGACCCCTGCCCTCAGGGGAGTGAAAACAAAGACAGACTGCAGAGGGAGCAAGCGAAGGACCTCGAACCAATCCTAGAAGGCCCAGGAAGTTTTCTGAGAACGCTGAGTCTGTGCTTCGCCCTGAAGGAGAAGAAGGGTTCGGCGAGTGGAGGAGATTTAAACACGAGTTTCTCACTGGCCGTATGGTGGAGTGAACATCTGCTCCATCGTCTTGGGGGTGGTGAGAGACGTTGGAAAGAGCAGGTATACTGCATATTAAATTCTAACCCACTCGGCGGCCAGTTGCATGAAAGGATCTGGTTTTATAATCTCTTTCTTTCCATGAAGTCACCATATGCTCACCTTTCAGCTGGAACACGGTCCTAGGGCTGAACCGCTTGGCAGCTGGTGACTGTTTTTGTTCCATAAGATTCAAATTACTTTTCTGTTTTGATTATAAACACGATCAGTGGTAATTGTTTTTTAAAGTTGGGAAAGGAAGCAAAGTATAAAAAAGAACAAAGAAATGGTACTGTTGTATCACTACTATCCAGAGAATGTCATAATTTGCATTTGGGAATATTTCTGTTCAGTATTTTTCACTGATACAGACACTCATTCATGCCCACTGGTAACTGCGCTCCATCCAGGTACATGAGGAAGAGGAGAAGAAGCTCACGCAGTGGTGGCTTTCCAGCACTTAGCAAAGCACATCAGAGTCTAATAAATAAGTTTTAAAATACAGAGGGAGTTTTGATTGGTTTTCAGTTTCTAGGAGATAATGGATATTCCATTCTGTGAAAAGTTGTAAGTCCCATGAAAATCTGAACTGTGTGTGAATATATTATAATTATTCTTTAAAATGTTTCCTGAGGTAGGTGTGGTTTCTTACCCTTGCTTTACAAAGGAATAAATTGATAGAAGAAATTCAACAAGTTAATGGGTAAGGGATAACACACCCATGCAGGTCCAGGCACCGGAGTTTTTCAAAGAGTTTCACTGATCTCACTGACTCAGGTTCCCAGAATGGTAACCAGGCTCAGGTACCATTTCTTAACAGAGTGGTTTAATTTAACAGAAATGAACAGAAGTGGTTTAATTAAAACCGATTGAGGCTTTGTAAGGAGAGTGGATGCTGTTGGCTTTATGGCCTCAGTTGTCTTGATCACATGCATACACACACCTGTTTGGGTGTGGTCTGCACTGAGTAACATTTTTCCTCATTAATAGGAGGAGAAGAATCTGGGAGAGTGAGAAGAGAGCCACGCAGGCCGGGAGCCAGATGGAGGACGGATAGAGAGGGAAACCCCTGACTACATGGTGAGCAAGAAAAAACCGTGGAAGAAAGAAATGTTAAGATTTTTTTTTTGAGTTTTTGCATTCACTAATGCTTTTGTGGGCATATATTCTTCTGAAGGAACTGAAAAAAATGTTGCATTCATGTCAAAGTAGTTGATCATAAAGACAATACGTGTGGATGAAGATGCAGGATGGAGAGAGGACTTTCCCAGGCCGTAGTATTGTGTGTGGGGGTAGGAATGAGGGGTGCAGAGAGAGGGGTTGATGAATTCCCACTCTAGATTTCCAGGAGAGCCCAGCTGAAATCTGAGTTCCAGATAGATACAATAAATTGCAATTAATATGCACAAATAGTGGAACGCCTTATGGTGCTGATGTGAGCTACCACGCCCTCCTGAGGGCATCATGACTTCATGTTGGGCATCCCAGACCCCCTTGGCAACATCAGTGCTTCCTGGGGAAGCTTTCCTAAGCCCAGAGATCCTTTTATGCCTTCCTTCATATTATTTCCATTGCCTGAAATGCTACTGCCTCCTTTCCCTACCACCCTCTATTGAAATGCTCCGTGTCCTTGACATGTCAACCTGCAGTGTAATGGCTTGTTTGCTTGTCTGACTCCTTTAGCTTATAATCCTCTGGAATGCAGGAACTGTGCCTAGTACAGTGGTTGGTATATAATAAGAACTTAATTTATTGATTCAATGACTAAACAAATGAATAAACGAATGAGTGAGAGCCAAACTTAAGTCCCACCTCTTTTATGAACTTTTCCTATTATTGACCTATACTATTGTCCAGCTTACCTGAGGAACATTATTTCTGATATATACTAATGATATTCCCATTCCTCTTCCTACTTCTATCGGGTACTTATTATGTGCAAGACACTATGAGATCTCATTTAATCCTTACAACAACTCTGTGATGTTGGCACTATTGTTGTCTCTACTGATAAGGAAATAGTCTCAGGGAAGGTAGGTGACTGGGCCAAGGTCATGCAGCTGGTAAGCGACAGAACCAGGATTTGTGCCCAGACAGTCTCAATCCAGAGCCCACGCTCTTTTCCGCTCACCTCGGAAGTTCTACTCGTCCTTCAGGGCCAAGCACAGACTTGGCTTCTTTAGGAAACTTTCCTGCACCTGTGTCTTCAATGACTATTTTCTCCTCTCCCACTCTTAGACTGTAGGCCCTGTGAGGCTGGAATCACGTCTCTCTTCTTCCCATGTTATGTGGCCCCCAGCTTGTGAAGTTGTTGGGAAAGAGATTCCTGTCCGTACCAGGCAGATGAGGAAACGATGGCTTGGGGATTTGTCTAAAATTACACAGCCACCCTCTGTCAGAGGTTTCCAGCTCTCGTCCCAAGTGTCTTCTCTGGAAGAAAACGCCTTAGCAAAGCCCTTTATAATCAATTTGGGGCAGATGATAGAGTTCACAGAATTCTAGAATGGCACCAGTCCACAATCATTACCTAGATAACTCTCCTCATCGAATGGGGAGGTGGCTCATCAATTCTGTGGAGCAAGTGAGTAGAAAGATTGGGGTAGGGAGAGCACGGAGAGAGAGCTTGCAGTCAGAAGACCAGGGATTTAGCAGCACTCTGACACTTGGTTCTTACTGACTGACATATGATATAAAGTAAAATTACTCAGATTTAAACCAAGTTGATGATGTCCTTACTGTCATTGTCCTTGGCCTGTATGCAAAGAATGGTTTTTCTCTGAGTAAAATCCTCTCCATTTATTCCGCTTGGCACAGGCACTTCTTATTGGATTGCTAGCTTTATTTTCTTTACTTGGGCTCTCTCGCAGTCTCCTGGACTGCTCCTCCCAGCTGCCTGTCTCCAAGTAAAGCAAAACCATAATATGAAAAAGGGCCTCAGAGTTAAGGCATGGGAGGACACCCTTAGCTCTGCCTTCCCCTTCACAAGCTCAGGATCTCGCCGTGGGAAACGCAGCACCACTGGCAGAGATTCACCGTCTTGGCTACCTAGATGGGGTGCATAACGGGGGGCGGGGAGTGTCCCCTGTGGTTTTGCCTGGCTGCCTGCTCTCCTTGGTCCACTGGGAGAGAGAAGGAGGGGAGGGCAGCATAGATCTGAGAACAAAAGTCAGACTGTGTGGATAGAGGAAATAGGGGCTTCCTGTGGTTGAAAATGCATGTGACATATTGGTGTGAGGAGGGCTGAAGGGTGCTGAGGACAAATCAGGCTAGATTTAAGGGCAAAGAAATGAGGTACCACCCTTTGTCCAATCTTTAATGAAAGCATTTAGCACTTCAGGTTTTAATTATTGGACTCCCCACCCATACTCTGTCATTGTCATCATTGCATTCCTGGTGCCTTGCATGGTGCTTGGCACACATCACAGCACTAAACTATGCTGTCTGAACGGATGGATGGATAATCGGCAAGGGGAGAGGTAGAGAGCAAAAACTGACTCTTAACATTTGTGGCATAGTGAATGTTACTATTTTTATTCCTTTTATGATGAAGAGAATACAAAGGGCTGGGGACAGAGACATCACAGGAGGAGGAAAGACAGTGCCACCTCTGCAAAGACACCCCTAAACTACACATAGAAGGGCAGTGGACCCCCAGGGCAGCCTTTCCCATCACAATCCAGGCCCATTGGCCAGTAACTCCCATGGCTACAGGGCACATGCCAGTCTTCCCAGGAGTCCTGGCCATGCCTCCAGGTGCCAGTGACTCAAATCCCTTTTTCCATTTCCCAGAGCAACCTGGCCACTCTCCCCTTCCCCCCAAGTTCCTACTCTGAGTCCCATTCTCTGACCGCTCTTTTCTTTCTTATTTTTGTCTTACTTGAGACTGATTCTCATAGGTTCCTCTGGTTTCTGCACTCATTTTCATTACTGCATATGCCTACAATCTTCTTCCAGTTCAAGAAATTCTTCCAATCCTTAGTCTTTCAGCTCTGCCCCCATTTCCATCTCCCCATTTCACCTCCCAGTATCCTCAGTCCTGGAGCACAGAACTATGCACTTGAGCTTCTAGGCAAGCATGGCTCATGTGGAGGGGGAGGGTGGAAGCATGTCCCCTCAAGATGAAAGGTGTGCTCTTGGTGAGGACCCTGGGTTTCACTTAAACAGACATAGCTGCAGAGAACCTTCATTGCCATCTTCCTCAATTTCTGCCCCTTCCCTCCACTATTCTGAAGCTCTTCACAGATGCTGCTCAGCACTAGGCCTGCTTGCAGCTCATTTGGTAGTAAAAGCAGTAGCAAGACCATGACAGGTGCTCCAGGAGCCAGGTTTTTTTTCAGGCTGTGAGCATGCATGCTGTATATGAGGTGTGCAAGAAAGCCATCGTCAGTCATAGAACACGGTTGCTATGGAACATGTGGAAAGGGAGAAACACGGTTTAACTGTGATTTTATTTTAAGTGGGATACTAGTCAGAAAGCTGGCATTGCAGCTACCAAGCAGCTCAGGGAGCAGGAAAGAGAGCTGCAGAAACTGGTTAGGAGTTCCAGCTGACGATCACACGCGTGGACATCCTCAGGTCTCCTGGCCCCCAGCCCTTCACCCAGATTCGGCACGTGGAAAATCTACACGTTTGCAAATTCGCAGTCATAGTCAGTCATCCGGCACATTATGAACTTCCACTGGCGATCCCTGTGGAGAGAGAGTCAGAAAGCTAACGTCAGTGAGAAGACACCGCAGGAAGGATCACTGCTGAGGGAAAAGCAGTGAACAACCTCTGGAGAATTTAGGAACTGGAGGGACACCCAGTCTCACTCTGGTCTCAGAAGACATCTCGAGGAGGCCTCTCAGAAACTGACAGTAACTGTCTGTGAGGTCACGTGTCCTGGACCCCTCCTCACCCAGTTCAGGTTGTACCTTGGAGGAGACGAACTAGGTTTCCGGCTGTGTGGAAGTCCCGTTCATGACTAGTGGTCAGCTCACCAATGCTTGGTCCCAAAGACTGAGCTGTTAACATATAGGTTAACAGCTTGGAATAAAAGCATTTATTTAACCTTGTCTCCATTTCATTGTAAAGAATCTTCTCTTAAATAGGCCACCCATTTTCTTCATTTATTCTTTTTTACTGAGTACTTACCATGTGCTAGGCTCCATACTGTACACTGTGTTTCCATTCAGAAAACACTCTTACGTGGAAGTGAATTGAGGGGAAACAACGCGAAAACCCCACAAAGTGGAAAAGAAAATGCCTGCCTTTCCTGCATTACAGAAATGGAGCCACATATTTGTTTAAGAGGTCGGGCATGGGTGTGAGAGGACGTAGAATTGCTCAATTTTGAAAAACGTGGTGTGGATGCATTTCAAGGAATGTTTTTTGCTAAGGACAGCCTATGTTCCTTGTTCACCGACTTAACAAAAATCTATTGTGTGCTGACTTTGCATGGCACTCTTCTGGGCTAATGTGGTTTAACAATGATAATGGCAATGATAATGATAATTGTGACTACTGTTTGCTGAGCACCCCCAATATATCCAGCATTGCACTAGATGCTTTACATGCTTTCTCATTTACTTCTCAAACCATTCATTGTTTGGGTGAAGAGGCAGACTCAGAGAAATAAGTGACTTTCTTTAAGATAATTAGGTGGCAGTTTCAGATTCCAAGTGTGTTGAATTTAAATCTTGCTCTTTCTCTTGTGCCACAGCGCCTCCGTAACTAGATACCCGTGACCGCATCAGAGGACATGACTGCCGCATCTTTTGCAAAGTCCGGATAAGGGGCAAACAGAGTGAGTCATTCCATGTATGATCACACAAGTCCTTCAAAGCACAGTGGAGTCCTTTAACCTTGGAATTATTCTCTCTTTTCATTCTGCAAGACCTCTTCCCAGTTCAGTTCATCTTAGACACCAGCACTGACAAATCTCCATCCAGCCTCCCATCTGGAAGGTGGGACTGACCTCGCTCAGTTCTGGGAGATCACTCTTGCCAGCAGCTGTGGTACATGCTGCTCAAACGACCTAAGGCAGGCTTTATAACGCTGTCTGCTGCTCCAGGTTGTTTGTTTAGAATGATTGGGAATAGGGTCCCCCAGTATAAGTCTTTGAGAGCCTCGGTGACCAACTATTTATTAGTATTTATTCCTGCAGTTGTCAACAGAGGACGTGGCTTGTTTTAGATGGAGATTTTAGCAAATTGGTGGCATCAAATTAATTTCATTACTATATGCGACTCTTCTTTATCTGTGTACCAACAGACACAGATAAATAAGATCTTAAGCCAGGCATTCACACAACTCTTTTAAGAAGCTGTTAATTGATTCTGAGCAAAACTTAGACTTGGTCCTAAGAGGACCAAGGGACTCAATCAGGCTCATTCTCTGATTTCCCTCCAGGACAGTGGTTCTCATGCAGGGGCAATTTTTCTTCCCAGGGGGTTTTGAGTTGTCACAATTGTGGGGGAGGGGAGGTTGGTACTGCCATCTAGTGAGTAGGGGTCAGGGATGCTGCTAAACCTCTAGAATGCAGAAGACAGACTCCTGCAACAAAGAATGATCTGGCCCTAGGTGTCAATAGTGCCCAGGTTGGGCAACTCCATTCCAGGAGGAAACCACTATGATTTGCATATGGAAGGAAAGTTCCTGCCCAGTGAGGCCTGTACTGACAACATCTCTCCAAGGCAGTGGCCTCAACGTCTTTCAGCAGAGCCGAAGGAACCCAAGTTGTGGAATTTTAAGCCACTGATTGTTGTGACAGCAGCAAAAGTGCATAAGAATATTCATTTTAAACAAATACGTGACGACATATCCTAGTTTTCCAAGATTTTGGGTTAATCCACATAACTGAAAATTTCCAAACCAACAGGAAGTGGACATTTTAACTGCTAAAATATATTTATTTTGTAGTAATTTTGGATAGTATTCTTTCTTTACTGTATTCTTTCCTGCCTTCTTAAACAGGGAATGCAGAACTAATTTTCTTGCTGGCTTGGAGACATCCTTAGGAATCTCGAGCACCTTGCTATACCATTGTTCAGTGGTGCTCTTTGGGGCTACACCCCTCGATAAATGTCACCAGGCTTCCAAGGTCTTTGAGTTCTTAGGTCTTTCCTCTTTCTAAATATATTTTTTGTGTATGTCACATCATTCTGCTATTTCTTCTCACTGGTGAAGCGAGTTTAACTCTAGGTACTATCTTCCCTGTTCATTTTTTAATTTGCTGCTTCTAGAAAATAGGTAACTAAGCTAATTTAAAATGTGTCTAAAAGAAGAATGATTAATGTGTGAGAACTGAGGGGTTTTCCTAAACATAAGAGTTTTTGTTTGTGGAGCCTGCAATATGTGTGTATTGTGCCTTTTCGGAGCTACTTAACGTTTGTTTTATTGTTCTGTTTTTGTTTTTTAAATTTTGTTTTTCAAATGCCATATTAAATAAGTTAACTTCTGTTAGGAGAGATAGCATTTAAAACATAAATGTACACAAAAGATAAGTCACACTCAATTTCATCACAGTCGGTTATTTAATGAGTTAATGTAAATTTTGTTCTGTTTGCAAAACATTTATTGGTAACTTTTCAGGAGTTTATTTGCTGTGTAAAGTGATTGTCACCTGGCTAAAAGCAGGTCAAATCAACCTTTTAACACCTGAATTTACCCACACCTCTCTCTATTAGTAGAGAAAAGAATTCTTATTTTCTTCCTATTGTTTTGTTTTGATGTATTTGTGGTAGGATTGGGGAGCTGATTGTGAGAGAAAGGAGATGAAAACAGTTAGTGCTGGTTTTCCTTTAGGTTATTTAAATTCTCCTCTTTCATTTCTAAGTATGGTTGGTAAGTTTTCTGTGTTTCTTCTCTTCAGTCCCCTCCCCTTCTCCTCCCTCTCCCTTCCCACCGCCCAAGTGGGGGTCATATAGAGAAACGGCACTGAAGGGGGTCCAGTTTGACAGTGGGTACTCCTTCAACCATCTTTGTCCTTTCTCCCCAATGTTTGGTAAGAAAAAGTGCCCTTTGAAATTGAGTGAAGGAAGAGTTTAGAACATCACGCGATACCAAGATGAGGGGATCCTGCTCAGAGCAGGCTGGAATCCATCCTCATCTACAAGGGTGAGCTGCCCCAAGAAATGAGTTTAAGAGAGTAGTTCAATTCCCATTGCCTTCCATCGTCCAGTCTAGTTAATCCTAGACCAGCCAAGAAAGTACAATAGAGAAAACTCCAGGTTGAAATTCCTGCAGACATAATCCTTGCATGGAGCTAGTGCCTGGCGCCTCTAACACGTAGCCCCTGGGGAAGGCTCACCTTTCCACTGCAGAGAAAGTGGTTGCTGCTCCTCGCATATAGTAATCATAATTGTAGGAAATCATGTCCATTTCCTCACCATAGTGGCCTGGATATTCTGTTGTCAGCCTATGTGAGAAGAACAGAAGGTTAGAGGAAAAGATAAAGCACACTGTTATTGCTAGGGACAAACAGGAGACATGCTATAAAGAAAAGATGGAGTTTGAACATTGTGGGAGACCCAAACCAGAGTTAGATGGCCTCCACCAGACCATTCTAGGCTGTGAAAAGATGGACAGCTTCCTCCCACTTCTCATCCTCCTTCTTCTTGCCATTAAACTATACTCTGAAAAAGATGTAGATAACTCCCCAGGACTTGAGGAAATATTGATTAGTATCAGTATTAGTCCATTTCATTCAAGTCAACTAGATCCATGTTTTCAAACTGTGGATTGTGACTCATTAGTGGAGAAAAAGAAGAGAGAGAAGAAAAATTAGAATATAAAATATCAGAGAATGCATTGTACACACTAAAGTTCTTGTGTATGTGTGTAAAAACTTCATTACAAATATATGTGTGTATATATAATGTATGCGTTATGTGATAGTTTAATATGTATTTCTTACTGTGAGTCACGATCAAAAAAGTGTCTGAAAAATATTAAAGTAAAATTTAAGCTCCACAAAGGTAGTCTTTGCCTTTTTCACCATTGTTTCTCTGGCACCTAAAACAGTGAATACATGGTAAGTATTCACTGATAAATAAACGGCCTTGGGAGAGTCACTTAATCTCAGTTTCCTGGTCTACAGAAGAAAGAAAACTACCTTAGAGGTTTGCCATTGGGACTAATACAAATATGTGTGATATACTAGTATATGGTAGGAGTTGAATCATTAGGAACAATTTTGTTTCTTCTTCACCCTTTTCCTTTTTCTTCTTTCTCCTCCAAGATTAAGTCATTCCCAGGCCTCTCTATGAGCAGGTTCGTTGTGCTCCACCTTGGAATAAATCTAGAATCTCCTGGTTCTCATAAAGTTTTTACCATTGGAGATCTTCAGGACCAAAATAGTCGTTTCAGTATGAAATGGGTCCCCCAAAGTCTTTATCTGCATCCCCAAGTCTGCTTGGGGAACAACCAGTTAGTGAGTGTTAGTAATTTCATCTGATTTGGGTTCACAAGGTCGTCACATGTTGAGGACAGAAAGATCTTCCCCTATGTAGACTTAATATTGCAAGAATTGTCATGAAATCTTGAAAAGACTGGTTTATAAACTGGAAGATCTCCTAGGAGGATCTCAGTGCTTAGCTGCAGCAAGATCAACGTTAGCTCAAGATGCTGTCAGTTTAGCACGATGTTAGCGTAATGTTAGCTCTAACGCCAGAGCACTAAAACCACACTCTGTTGGTTTATAATCATTCCTTCTCCCACACTGTGCAGTTGTCTTTGTTCTCGGATTTTTTCTCTTCTCAAGACATAATTATGCTCTATCAGGACGCCAAGCCCAACCCAGAGTGGGTTACATGTGTTTCTGATTAACATGTTCACGAAGGGAAATAAGGCTCTGCTAATTCAGAAATCTATTTTGTGCTTCTAAAGAGTCCCAGAACAAGGACTTCCTCTTTCTAAGGAAAATGTTAAGTGACTCATAAATGGACCTAATAGACACGAGGATTCTAACAAGCACTAGGCTAAAGTTTACCCAAAGAAAGAGGAATCTGTTGAGAATGTGAATAATGCAAATTAGGATTAAAAGAGATGGGGTAGGAGGTGTTTTCCTTACTTGAGGGAACACAAAATATTTTCCAGAACTTTTGAGGTTCTCTTTGGAACAACGTATAAAAGGTAATTGCCAAACCTTTTTATATGTGCTAAGGCAGACTTTACATATGGCAGTACTGCATGAGGCTAAATCCAATTGCTGAAACTATTTGGAAATAATCAAGCTAGATTTTTATTTTTCAAGTTCTTACTGATCTGCCTCAGATTACTTGAATAGTTAAATGCATTTGGAATAAAGTGGGAAAGAGAGGTTTGCATTTTTTTCCCTTAAAAACATCACGAAATTTTAAGCTTCCAAGGGGGAAAAGGTTATACAATGCTTTCTTTAACTAGCATTCTCTATTGCTTCATTTTTGGTAGTGACCAGATATATGCCCCCTACTCAACTAGACAGTTTGTCTGGGAAGCCTCTCTGTGGGGGACTGCTATCCACTGAATTTCTAGAACTCTCTGAAGAAGGTGTGGTGCATGCTCATTGGTACATTACCATCTTGGTCCTAGCCGTATTTTTGTTTAACTTGATGTTTGGTTGTTGTTGTTGTTTTCTTTTGTTTTTGTTATAAAACCATGAGAGCAAGCTTAGACTATCTTACAGAACCTTGGACTAAGGGGGCTAGGGAAGCAGTTTGGATATTGATGGAAATGATTATCCCTACTTTATAAATTAGAAATACAGAGGGAGAAATGGCCCCAATCATTAGTAGAAAGTGAGCCTCCCAAACACCATCCACAGAGGGAACTGCTGTTTCAAGATGATCCAGGAGTCTGAATTTTAGCACCAAATAGATTTATCTCCATTTAGTTCTTGATAACATCATGCACACACAATATATCCTAATAAATGAAAGCCCCAGTAATATCTCCTCAGAGAGAAAAATAGAATTTAAACTTTCAGAACTAGACACTGAGACAAGGGCATAGGGACTTGTCAGGAAATTAAAAGAGGCTACAAGGAAGCAGAAGATCAGGGTCTCGTAAGCTGTGGCATTGGGCTTCCTGAGGGAGGGTGGGGAAGAGGTCACTGTGGTTCCAGCTTCCTTGTGAATTACCAGGTCACTTCAGGCAGCTTTTTGGCAAAGCACGCTTCATACTGAGCATTGCCATACATTCCTAAATCAATTAAAACAGTCAACAAGCCTTCAGCGTGGCGAGAAGAAGGGAAGGGCCGGTCCGAAAGGTGCCTGTATTCGATTTACTGAAATGAGTCTATTATTGAAGCCCTTGTATCGGGAGCCTTATATTCCTCCTTACAAAGAACTATTCGTGTGTGTGTGTCTGTGTCTGTGTGTGTGTGTGTGTGTTCCTCCTATCACTTTTGGATGAGTGACTATTGGGGTACAATTTCTCCCTTCACAATACTTTTTCTACCATCTCTAAACAAGACAAGACAGACCGAGAGTTGTTCCAAAGCTAAATGAGAAGTTGGTAACACAGAACCACCTGTACAATTTCTTGTGTTAGATGAAGTCGAATGAGATGGAAAGAAATTAAGTAATATCTTAGCTATGTGCTGAAGAAAACCCATTCAAACTGAAGAGATTTTGAAGATTGATACAGGATCTTCTCATCGAAGATTCTGAAAGCACTGAAATTATTGACAGATCCAACTAGATTCAATAAACGATTGCTAACCAATACATTACCCTAGACTGAGCTGCAGCTGATGGACATCATGGCTCCTTTGCTATGAGAATAGGACATATCACAGAGCTTAGCCCAGATATGTGTTTTCACACTCATTTTAAAAAGGGGAGTAGAGACACAATTTAGTTAGATAAAGAGGTAATTTTACTTATTGTCAGAGGTGTGGTTGGGGACTGATTCAGTTTTTAATGGTTAAAGGAAAGGGTTTTGAATCTATTCCTGAACAGAAAGTGTGAAAATCCACCTCTATTATTGATTACTGCATGGTTGAACCTAAGGTCAAACTTCATAGCACTAGGATCTGTTTGTTACATGTCTGATCTGCCTGCAGTCAGGACCACTGGATTATTTAGAGTCATCCTGGAGGCTCCACTTTCAGATCATGTGCACCACTGGTGTGCACACAAACAAATGGGGCCTTGTCCCATGGCCCCAAGTCAGCAAATGTCACAATCTCAACCTTGTCCCACTTTGTAGGATACCAGAAAAGTATACGCCACAGACTCCCTACTATAAAAACTGGAAGAAAAACCCAGTATTTATATATTAAAAAATCAGAATGTGGTATCTGAGGAAGCCATACTCAAGCTTTTTTCAAAATAAAAGTAAACTGAGAATATTTCTGATCCATTCTTTAGAGCTCAGCCCATGCTTAAACAATATTTTAGAGAAGGTTTTTCGGGTCAACCCAATCTCGAATTCCTGTTTTTGCTCCTATTTTCTCCATTACCCAATCAGTAACTTATTTTATTTTTTTATTTTTTTTTCTAATTTTTTTTTTGTTTATTGCAGTAACATTGGTTTATAACATTGTATAAATTTCAGGTGTACATCATTATACTTCTATTTCTGCATAGATCACATCATGTTCACCACCCAAATACTAATTACAATCCATCACCACACACATATGCCGAATTATCCCTGTCACCCTCCTCCCTC